TATCTAAACAAATTCGATGAAAATTTTTTTATTTTAATTCTATTTTATCTATAGAATTAAAATAAAAAAATTTTCATCGAATTTGATTAGATAATCATTGAGAAAACTTCGATTGAAGTTATAGTACCTACAAAAAAGAAGCTGCGGTAAATTTTTTTTAAAAATTTAAATGAATATTTCTCAGTGACTACCTGAATAAATTCAATAAAAAAATTTATTTTAATTCTACGTGTTTGTAGAATTAAAATAAAAAAATATTCATCAAATTTGGTTAGATACTGTAGCTGTTGAGAAATCTTCGCTTAAAGTTAAAAAAAGATGGTTTTACTACGGTTTTTGCTTTTTTCAACCTTTTTTAAAAACTTTAAGCAATGTTTTCTCCACGACTATATAACCAAATTCGGTAAAAAGTTTTTTATTTTAACTATACATATTCATGGAATTCAATTAAAAAAAAGTTTTCCGGAATTAGTAAACATTCATCGAGAAATATTTGCTTAAAGTTTCTAAAAATCCTTTAAATTTTAAAAGGATCTTCCTGGCCGACTATATTTCGACGCATTCCGACCTGATTCCGACCAGGAATTTTGGGGATCCCCCTGTATGAGTTCAATCAATTTAGAAAAGGATGACCATTTTATTCCTAAACCTATTTTACAACGCTATGGCCAAAACTCGTGAATATCTTTTGAAATTGATCCAGAAATATATGAATTTAAGTAAGAAATAATAGTTTTTTATGCTGTTGATTAATATTTAAAAAGATTGAATTAGAATTATTTTATATGCTGCAGGCATATAGTGAACTTTAAAAATAAATTTCTCGTATTTCTTTGGAATAAAACAAACCAAAAATTAGAAATATTTTTTGGCACTATCATTCATTTACGAAAAGTTATTAAAGCAAAAGAATCGTTAAAAAAGCTAAACCTCGGAAAAAGCTTTATGTTTGCGGCTAATGAACCAAAAGGTTTGATTGCGATTTACGACAATGATAAAGGGGTGGTATGTATTAATTAGCATTAACTCTTAACGTAAATGTGTAATTTATTGATCACCTGTTTGTTATAAAGCTTAATTCATACAGTCTTGATGAAGAACAATCAAATATATACCTAATTTATAGAAATATTCAAATTCAAAGATGGTATAATGATGAAATACCAAAGATCGCTCATTTCTTTTTTATAAAAAATACAGAAAATATTTGTTTTGTAGAAACAAATAGTCAAGCTCGTATATATAATTTTGTGAACGATTGTTTTCAACCAGGAGTTGCGCAATTTCCAAATAATATATGCAAAGTAATGAGTACACCTGATGGTTCATGTATTGTTGCATTTGTGAAAGAAAAGAGAGCAACAGAAAATGAGATTATAAACGATGATAAAAATATTTCTTCAAATCAGGATATAATCAATGGATATGTTTATTATACTGAAAATTTTAATCAAAGTGCAAATAAATTGATTAAAGTCCCATTGAAGCACTCTTCCATCGATCTTTGTCAGTTTTCAATGTTAAATAATCGCCAGCTTCACCTAATTACGATCGACCAACAAGATAGAGTATTTCAATCATTGATGGTTAAAGTCACACATGCTAAAACAAAATATCGCTTTGAACGGCAACTAATTCAAAAATCTCTTGGCAAAGTTAAAATTAAAGTATATGACCCATTTTTTATTATTGGTGAAGGCACAAAATTCACGCAAGATATTTCTATTGGAGATTTTATAGTTATCAACAATGAACAAAGACAAGTTATTGAGATTAAATCCGATATTGAATTAAAGATTTCGGCTGAATTATTTAAAACCATTGAATATAATAAAGTATATTCTTTTACAATTGAGCAAAGGAAAATACTTAATGGTTTAATCGATGCTTATTATCTAATTTTTACGAAATATGTCCTATTGGTAAAATTGATAATCCACTCACTGCAACTATAGTAATAGATTCAGAGAATTTAGATTTGGATGAATACAAGATAAAGTTTCGCAAATATATTTCTGGTACTTTTGAAAAACTTAAAAAAGAAACCAATAAACCAATTGGACATCTGAAGAAATTTAAAACAAATTGTGCATCTTTTAAAAATCTTGATCTTACAAATATGTATACAGAATATAAGCTTGGAGAGTAAGTAAATACTTTTAACTACAGGATTTCGTTCATAATCTCTGGATACAGAAATACTAACTTTTCTTAAATGCAGGTGGCTTATAGATTTCTTCTGCTTGATTCCTCTTCAAATTGCTGTTACTAGAGATAATAAATTTATTCCACTTAAAGATGGAATTTTATTACCCGAAATTGATCAAATGACATTAGATGAAAATTTTGGAATCATTGAAAGTGTGTCAGATAGCATTTCATTTGGATGGTATGAAGCAATATTTGATTATTATTCTACACTTAAAGTAAAAGTAATTTCATCAATGGGAGAGCAATCATGTGGTAGGTCTTATAGCTTTATAATGCTATATTTGTTAGATCATATCCTTGTTTTTTTTTTTGACATTTTATTTTTGATTCAATTTATTTAACGATAATGATAAGGCAAGAGTTATTTACTGAACCACTGCATTGGATCAACTTTTGACGGATCTGCTATGGTATGCGCATTATTGTCATCATCAAATAATAATAGTATTATTAAATTTTACTTTATTTATGCTTAGCGCTGCACTGAAGGTGTATGGATGTCATTAGGTAAATTTTACATCTACTAATTCCAAAAATCTAGTAATACAATGTCAATTATTTTAAAAATGGTTCATATTTAAATAGTTAAAACAAATGACACACTTTATGTTGCTCTTGACTTTGAGGGTATGTCATAGTTTTCAATTTTTGTATTACTTTTGCCTTGCAGTCAAATTAAGTTATATTTTATAGGACTTGCGAGCATTGAAAGAACCGCGCAAGAAGAGACTTTCTTACAACTTCTTAATGCAGCACTATCAAACCTTGTTCTATTTAAAAGTCAGTTTGCAATTAGTCGAGACATTTCATCAATGTTTCAACGTTTTCATGATGGAATAAATTATTTCGGTGATGATCCTGATATATTTCAGGTAAGTATCGTTACTTAGGGTGCTTTTATAAAAGATTTTTTTTAATAATTAAATTCTTTTCATATTTTATTCTATAGGCTTGTTTTTGTATTATTATAAAAGATGTTGCAATAAGTGACAGAGATGATATTGTTATAGAATTTCAATCAAAGCTTTCAAAGATTGTTGATACAGTTAGTTTTCTTAAATTTATTTTAATATCTTGTTTATTCATCGCTAATTTCTAATCCTATTTCATTGTATCTCTAGGAAGAAGAAGATAATTTTATAACAAAGCTTTATCATAATAGGATGTGTATTTTTCCTTAGCCAGTGTTTACTGAATCGGCATTTTACACAAGCATTAGGCAATTGAAAGTTAAATTGGATGAACAAGAATCAAAATATAAAAATGCTAGAATGTTTTTAGAAAAGATCAAGGTAAAATTGCATAATAAACTATTATCTTTACTTTTATAAATAAATTATTAATATCGAATTTAACTTTTAGATTTTAATGACTAAATTAAAGTATGAGATATTAATTAATTTTATCTCGCATTCATGTTTATAGAACTCTATATTTTAAACTGTGTAAATTACATTAATTAAAGAATGCAGAATTGGGGAAGCATACAAGAAACAATGATTGTTAAGCGAGCATCAGAATTGAAAAGGTTTTTGAGCAATGCGATAGCATTTGGATATGAACAAAAGGAAGATGATCCATTTTCTATATTCGAAGATTCGAATCATCAAGATATCAGACGTCTTACGGTAACTTATAATAATCATTACTGTATTAAATGTTATTCTAATATTAATGAATTTATTATACAATTGATAGAACCGAGATAACGGAAAATTAATTCCTGATGATGAATTCTCGCTTTCTGAAATCTTTAAAAATACTGACAACTCGATTAAATTGATACCGGATACGGGACTTGTGTTATTTAAAGATAAGGGTGACTTTACCAAGATTTCATCTGGTATAGTTTAGTCTATAATATTTATATTGTTTATAATCATATTTTAAATATTTTTTAATATTTGTTTTGACCATTTTGTTACGTTATTAGATTTAAGAACATTTTTTGAGAAAAATGTTCATACGCGTGGTTCAATTCCTGATTCTGAATGGCTTGACCATTTGGATAAATTTTTTAAACTCTTTATAAACAGACGAATAAAGCGCGTACGGGAATGGATTTTACAAAATATCTCGAATTTTCCAAAAGATCACACTGAAGTTACCCTCATAAATTATGCTCTTAACCAAGAAATTAACAAATTTAATTCATTTTGGAATATTTGCCGACTTTGTTGTAGTAAATGTGGTCAGGCATGTCTTAAAGCCAGTAAACATGATTTCGACGGTGATAAAGAACATGATTGCTTAACTGATCACAAGTGTCATTCCTTTTGTCAATGCGTCAGAGATCATAAAAATGGGGTCATGCCAGAATGTATTAAATCAGCAGCACATAAAGATAGACATAAATGTGCTCAAACTCATAGATGTGATGCTCCATGTATTTATGCGGATAAAATTAATTGTAAAAAAATATGTTCTAAAGATTACGGTCATCAAAAAGTCGCTGGGAATGAAGTTCATTTATGTGAATCCAAACATTACTGTGGAGCTCCATGTTCATTAGATGCTAAAACTAAAAATGGCAAATATCAATGTCAAAACACATGCATTGCAAGTATTAAAATTTTCTGGCTTATAACTTTTTGTGTCACATGTATGATTTAAATTACTACTGCTACGTGCGATAACTTGTTATTAATTGTATTAGATTCCATGTGACCAAAAACATACCATACATAAATGTCGTAGCGATGCGTGTCCAATTAAATGCTATATTAAAGATTGTAGAAAACATTGTGAAAGCTCGGATCATTTGCATGCTTTAGGAAAAAGTGTTAATCACATTTGTGGGTAAGTTAAAACAAGCAAAACACAATCTGAAATTTAGTTTTATATTGATTGCTTTGTTATTGCTGTATTATGTAGATATTGTCATTTTCGATGCGACAAATGTGGTCTTAGATGCAAAAAAGCAAACCGACATGTTGATAAAGGCCATGATTGCTCAACAGATCATAAATGTCATGCTAAATGCCAATTTCCTGAATCTCATCGTGATCATAGTTTGCCTGAATGTAATATGCTTGCGGCTCATGAAGGCACACATCGATGCTCACAAACACATTCGTGTGGTGCTACTTGTATACATGCTAATAAAGAAAACTGTCAAAAAAGATGCGTAAAAGATGCCAGACATGTAAATAAAGTCGGAGATGAAACACACCTATGTGATGTCAAAAAACATTACTGTGGAGCTCCATGTTCACTAAACTTTAAAACTCTTGAGAGAGAATACAGGTGTCAAAACGCTTGTATTGTAAGTATTACTGTCCGAGATCAACAATCTCACGTGATAATTCTGTCATTGCATTTTGGATCTTGATTGGCTGAATACAGCATAATGATCAATATATACTCCAGACTAGTGTTTTGAACCGGGTGGACTGCCGGGTTTCCCAGCCAATCGCTGATGTTTGTTTACATCGGGTAAAATAGGATGTGTCAATCCTATTTTATCCGATGTAAACAAACATCAGTGATTGGCTGGAAAAGACCGGTAGTTCACCCGGATCAGCCCCGGTTGAACTTTCGGTTGGCGGTTCAAAACACTACTCCAAACGTTAACCTAGTATAATAAAGCTATTTCTTTCAATTTTTAGATTTCTTGTGAAGAGAAACATACGATTCATAAGTGCCAAAATGTGCCCAATACAATGTTCTGTTAAAGGCTGTAATAAACTATGTGAAAGCTTGAATCATTTGCATGCTTTTGAAAATGTTAACAATCATCTTTGTGGGTAAGTCATTATAACTGTTATAATTGCATGCTTATTTAAATTTATCAAAAAAAAAAAAAAAAACTAGTGCTAATTTGATGTTTGTTATTCAGTCTTTGCCATTTGCAATGCAATAAATGTGGCCAAATGTGTCGAAAAGTTAACCAACATAATGATACAAGCCACGATTGTTTAACAGACCACAAATGCCATTCTAAATGCCAAATTTCTGAATCACATACTGACAGAGTTTTTCCAGAATGTAATAAACCTGCTGCGCATAAGGGTAATCATCAATGTGCACAATTTCATAAATGTAATGCACCTTGCATTCATACTGGAAAAGCAAATTGCCAGAATAAATGTGTAGACATTTTTGGCCATCAAGCAACAGGAAATAAACCTCACTTATGTGGCTCTGATAAACATACTTGTGGTGCACCATGCTCATTAAAGTTTAACACTCTAAAAGGCGAATATAAATGTCGACATACGTGCATTGTAAGTATTATATTTTACTAGTCTTATTGGTTATGCTTTTAACATTGCAGATTAAATTGATTAAATAATATTTATATTTAATAATAATCATATCAGCTTATATATGAAGAAAAACATACAATTCACGAATGTAAAAATAATACATGCCCGTTGAATGTTCTATCAAAGATTGTAGAAAATCATGTGGAAATACTAATCACTTTCACGCAATTGAAAAAAATGCCAATCATATTTGTAGGTTAGTCAACTGACAGAATTATATACAGACTTTTTTTTTGTTATATAAATTTTTTTTTAAATTGAAAAATAACTTAATTACTATCTAGGCTTTGTCATTCTCGATGTGATAAATGTGGTCAACTTTGTCGCAAGGCAGATCAGCATGATGATTCGAGTCATGATTGTTTAACCGATCATCTATGTCATAATCTATGTCAACTTTCTCATTCAAGTGGAAATATTCCTGAATGTAATAAATCCGCTATTCATGAAGGAAGGCATAAATGTGGACAATTACATCCATGTAATGCTATTTGTGTTCATTCCGATAAAAGAAATTGTCAAAGAACATGCACAAAAATTTTGGGACATCAAAATGAGCATTTATGTATATCTAAAAAGCATTATTGCGTTACTCAATGTTCATCAAATGTCAAAGGAAAAAATAAATGTCAAAAAACGTGTACTGTAAGTTATTAAAATTTAATCAATTTATATATTACAGTATTGATTCTATTATTCACATGAATTTCAAATAATACAAAATTAGCTCTCATACGAAGATGGACATACAACGCATCAATGCAGGTATGTAAACTTCATTCAATTCTGTATATTATAATTTAAACTTATCCAATACTAAAAAACTATTCTTTTACTATATAGGGTCCATAAACTAAAAAAATCCATAACACGTTACGTGAAATTTTTTAAGTAGATAGTTTTTATTATCATAAGCAATTAATTAATACTTTTTGTCATATCAGATGCTATTTTTACAGGGGTTTTTTTTTAAAATAAAGTATCAAATTTTATCTATTGCCACGCTTGTTAAAAAGCTTTATTTTATTTGATACTAAATGAGTTTTTACGTTTGGTGTATAAAGGATATTAAATTTTATGGCCATGATTTTAGGCCACGCAAAGTTGATTTTTCGTTTTGCATTACCAGCCAAACCATTATTTCAATTTTTCAATATATATATATATATATATTTAAGTCCCAATATTGCCAATTATTTCAATTTTGCTTTTTTCCCCTCATAAACCAATTCGATATCATCCGATAGAGACCTATTTTCCGGAATTATCAGAGACCAATAGAAAAAATCAGAATTACAGCCCAACTTCCTAACTCCATGCTATACAAAGCGAAAAATTTACTTTTGTAAGGCCTTAAACAGCAGGAAATTTTTAAATAGGGTAGATATCGATTATAGTGCTTTGCAAAAAGATGTGAACATGTGATTTTAGTGATGCTGATAGCTGATAATCACTAAGATTCCAGATTGTCTGTTACTTTATATTTTCGATTGGTTACGTTTATATTTCTTTGAAATCAGTTTAA